CGTTTATGGTGAAGCTTGCTCAGCTCATAGGACAAACTACTTACTGCAAATGGTCTTATATAAAAAGCCCAAATACAATTTCAACTATCCGAATGGGTTTTTTTTTGCATTTTCAGGCATATACTGTTCTGTAAGGAATCTCCTTACCTACTCACCTTCAGCCCAACCAAGACACATTAAAACTCCAGGCATTACAGAAATACATCTGTATTGAGGTCTAAAATGAAATTTGAAGTATATACTACAAATACAGCACAAGCTAGTCTGCTCTGGTAGGGAATGGACACCAGTCCTGCATGAAGAATTATGACTAAATCATTCAATAAGCCAGAAAGAAACTATCAAAAAGTTATCCTCTATGTAGTGAATTTTGTCTTCTTTCAAGTTGAAAAGATATTTTTAGAGAGAGAGTAGGAAATCTTGGAACAATTGCATTAGCTGTCAGCTGAAAACATTGCTGCCTAAACCTCATCTTTTAGAGTGGAAATTATTTGAACTGAAAAACCTCTGTGGTTTTTTTTCCTCTCAATTTCTTTTTGTAAACGAGAATAGGTTTTTGTGAACGATATTTTAGCTTTTGTGTTTCACTCCACTCTGCTCTCCAGGAGTAAAAGTAGCACAGGAAGTTGCAGATTCCTCAGTTTTTTTTGTGCTATAAAGCTCTCTCTCCCTTCCCTAGAAAATCATATAGCCCTGGATTTTAAAATGTCATCGCTATGTTTTTCAGTAATAACTATTACCCATTCATACCTTAGGTCACTAAGTTGGCAGGACAAGACTCACAGAAGACAGAAAATGCCTCCAGTTGGCAGTTTTTAAACCCTGCAGCTGTTTAAAGAAGCTGAGAGACTGACATATGAAAGGGCAGAGCTCAAGGCACAAAGATGAAAGATAAAAGTCTTTTATCCTTTAGTGTGCTTTAGAAACGAAAAAATACAAGATGTCACTGTGTTGTGTGGGAGGATTATTGACATACATTTAGGATGCTTACAGTACATCCAAGTGAGTTGAAATCCAACTCAGTGCAAAGAAAAGAAAACAAAAACCCAGAGACTATGCAGAACATTTTCCACTAAAATTTAAATTGAAAATGATTTTATTGCTTTCCCATAGGAAATACTTGTTAGGTTGGGTTCATAATGAAAGGATGGAATGACTCAAGTATTTAAGGAATATTGCTAAGAAGGCCTCTTTTTACATAATTAAGGGGCAAAAAGCAAGCACCACCCATTAGAATGCACTTTTCTATCATGATTAAGACGACTATACCACCTTACTGAAAACATTCTCCAGAAAAACTGTTACAAATTATATGAGGAAAACACGCATAACATCACAAAGCTATACTTTATCAAGTATACATAAACTCATACTTATTTTAAAAAAGAACGGGAAAAATTTCTGATACAATCCAAAAACCTTAAGGAAATGCACAGCCTCCATGTAATTTCTAATTTATGTTACCATTTTTAGTATGGTATAACTAATAAAGCCCATAAGTACTACAAATAATTATAGTGTAACTAATTTTTAATGCATTCTTGTTAGACTTCTTGTGTACATTGTTTCTTTGTAGTGATTATTTTCTACAGCACTATCATGCACTCTAATGTTTTCAGTATCAGAGAATAATACAAAGGTCTCTCCCTTGGAGACTCAAAAACGTGTTAACATTATATAGCCTTGTCTGATGACACTTAAATTTGTCTGAATTATTTTATCCTAGTTCCAGCAAATCCGAAACTCCAAATAACTCATTTCTTTTCTGAGAAGCAAGTATCTTCTTGCTGAATGACACGATCAGATCATTAGCTGTTGATCTTTACTAGTAATACCGATTTTTCTTAGGAAAAGACACATTATTTGGTGTAACAGCAGCAAATCTCTAAGACTACAGGGTCCTCCTAATCATGTACTCACACCTGTATATGAATTAATTTGATCAAGACTTCACACAGTCCAAGTTCAAAAGTCTTAGAGAATTAAAAGGCTAGGCAACAGGTTTCATTTTTATCTCAACACAAGGAAATAAAAGGATACCCCATAAAGAACAAATTTATGTATTGTAGTCTTCTTTGGAATAAACGTTAAAGCAAATGGAAATAAGCTTGAAAAGATCAGACATATTTCTTTACTAGTAAAGGAGTTTACCAGGGATAGAAGCTTGTGCAGATCAGTTTTCTATATACAGCGATTCCACCGGATGCAATCCCAATCATGAGATCTAGATTATGGAGATCCTGCAAAAGAAAAATACCGTAAGAACACATATGTAGTTTGTGTCATTCCCATTTATCTACTTATAAATTCATTTTCAGGTTTTCTATACTTAAATTGCTACTCCCAAGGCAAAAATTCAATTTCATATTTGAATTTTTTTTCATTCATCTCTTTCCTTTGATGTTATCCATTAGGTATTGTAAGTTTTCACTCATTGAAATAAGTTGTAATTTTCATCATACTACACTAGATATTCTTTAGGTCAGTATCAGATTAATTTTTCAAGTCCAGACGTATTAATTTAACCATGGGAAAGAAGCTGAAGCACTTCCCCAGATCAGTCAGGTAAACGTCACAGAATTTTGGAAACTGAACACAAATGTCCTGATTTTAAGCTGTTTAAAAACAAAGGAAATGATTCCTTATTTTTTCCAAAAAAGTCTTACCAGCAAAGACTGGGCAGAAGGTGACCACAATTCTGCATATAAGAGTATGCTAGAGGAATTTATAAGTGTACATGAATATTTGAAGCACTAAACGAAATTCATTTTTTAACTAAACCAAAACCTGTGCATCAGCTTAACACTCTCAACTGGAAAAATGAATCCACAAATTTACAATCCTTTATAGGTATTGAGATATTCAAGAGGAAATATGCTTCCAATATAAGCAAACACTTGAGTTAAAAGAAAAAAACAAAAGGGCAGGGGGCAGGATGCTTGAATGGTCAATTTGAGTCTAAACCCAAACTGATGTTACGAAAGTTACAAATTTTGGCTTCCTATTTCTCTATGATCAACATGTACCAATATGTTGTTACACAAATTTCTAAACAGAGTTGAACACATAAACCTATGTGTAAGTATAGAACTCACTGGTTAAAACATCAGGTTTGACTCAAAAGCAGTTTCAGACTATTTTGTAAAGGATGGCCAAAGGTAACTGATTCTCTTGAAGCCTTCAGTAGCTTAGCTGGTCCTCTAGATGGTACTCTGTGCTCAGTTAATAATACAGTTTTATTCTATGTCCAATCCCAATTTCTTTATATTAGTAAGGTACCGAAGAATAGGAACAGGTAGCATATGCTCTAACAATGCTGTGGAAAGTCTACAACACATCCTTTAAAGTAGTTGAATAGAAGCGTGATACAGGCATATGAATAAATGAAGCTGAACTTAATCTGCAATGTGATTTATAAATCTCCAGTGAAATAGCACAGCAGTTCATAGACAATGAGCAATACCTATTTAAGATATCATGCATAAACACTGAATGCTGAGAAGATGAGAGGAATACCAGTCCTATCTCTGAGAGTATAATAAAAGAAAATCATTAAGTAGGTAGCAGTCCAGATACACTCAAGGTAGCCCAGAATCAGTTGAAATTATTAATAACCCTCAGTAACCTCCTGCCTCACTTTGCCAAGAACTGCTGCTAGAGGAGGTGGTCGAATCTCCATCGGAAGAAGCTCCCAAACTGCCAGTTTATTCTGGCATAATGCAGGAATCCGGAATTGACACCCCTTTATTTCAATACTTGGGGAGAAAACTGGGGTATTTCAGGAGATGAACTGCATGTAATTTAGCTGCCCCTGCCATGATACAGTCAACCCAAAGCAGGACAGAAACCGGTATTATTAGCAGTGGGAGCTTACTCCAGGTTCCTGCTTTTAAAAATCAATACTGTCAAGAAAAAACAGCTTTAGAAGAAAACACTAAAATCTACATGATTTAGCAGAAATAAAGGATTAGCTAACCACTTGATATGGATTAATTAGGCTAAACTACTCTTATTTTCTCCAGGAGCTTTGTCAGAACAAAGTTCATTCCCCACCACTGTCTGTCCCAGTCCAAAACACTAAGCTCCCATGCTATTTGTTGTAATGAATTCTCTTAAGTTAAAGCTAAGAAAACTGAAAACAAGATTTTGGACTAGTATAAAGAAAGAAGGTCTCCCAAAAGAAAGATGATGTAGGTGTGCAGTTATTTTCCTTCCAAAACATTTACGCTGTTAAATTGCACAACTAAGAAAAAACATGCATATATTTTTCTTTTTAACTGTTACTTTATAGACCTATTAATAAAAAAATTTTTAAAGATAAAAACAATCACACCAGACATTTAGCTAGTTAAATACTGATTCACATTTGATTTCATTTACAATTACTATCTGGATTTTTGTAGATATCGAAATAATACTGATTCTACAAATTTCATATCTTCGTCTCTCTGAGTAAAAGTGAAAGATGAGTTAACATCAGACTGAATGTAATTATATGGATATAATTACAGTGAGTTTATACAGGAGTATTTTAGGAATTCTTAGAAATCTAATGCAACACACTTATTTGTAGCAGCATAAAGAAAAAAAAACTGAAGAAAACATCATGCTGAAGGAAGAAAATTACTTTTTCTATCCCTTCCATCATTACAGAAATTGATGATTAACATTCCCAGTGTCAGGATTATTAACAAGTCTCAGAAAAATGTTAAGAAAAACAGTAGTCATCTTCATTTAGGAAATCGATCATCTGCACTACACTTCACTAAGTTTTTATACTACAAGCTTTATGTCAAAATTTTGCTATTACATAAAAGCACAAATGGTAACTTGCACACTAGGATGCAGTAAAAAGAAATATTTTGGGGATCTGTCTCAGACAGCTAGTGCAATCAAACATTTCAATCCGAGTAGTCAGTGAAATACTAAGATATGTTTCTTATCAATGCACACCCTGTATCTGAAAGATTTCAAATACATTTTTAGCAGTCATCTTCCACGCTGTTAAACTGTGCTTAGATTTAGCCTGGAGTCAGAGAATACAAGAATAAAAAACCCCCAACAATCTCTATATTCTTAACATTGTGTTAGAAATTCAGAGGAAGTAAATTCTTAAAACACGTGCCAACTACTTCATAGCACTAAACAGAGAATTCCTTTTTTTTTTCATGCTAAGACATTCATGAACTTTAGTAAAATTATTAAGTAAAATATATTGCAGTATCGAAACAATTTATCTAACAATATATTGTTACTCTTCCAAGGAGATCTAACTTATTTGGTTGAAATTCCAGCATCTATGCTACACAGAAATTACTGAAACATTATGCAACTCTTTAATTAAACATAAGACATGATAAAGTCAATACTTAAATGCTACTGATATTTACTGCTATTATGTAAAAAAGGCATACAATTTTTTTTTCCAAGTGAATTTATAATCACAATGTAAACATACTCTACCACTTTGCAATTCCACTCCATAGAATTCAAGTGTTCGTGCTATATTTATGTAGCAAGACTCTGCTTCAGATTGCTTGAGGCCACTAAAGGAGGAAGAAAAAAAAATATGGACTGCAGTCAAAAATAAAAGACATGGTATTATTTTTACTCCAAATGCAGAAAACCAGAAGAACCCCACAGCCCAAAACCGAACCTCATTAACTACTGCCATGAGTTCTTCACTTGTGAAGGCCCTCCTAAACTCCTCTCAAAAAATCAAGCAAGTTATATATAATGTTACTAACTTAGCCATTCTGGGCCAGCTCTTTTTAGAAAAAAAATCATTTGACCTGTTTTGTTTAAAAGTGATGAGGAAGTGATTCCCCTATTAAAGCTCCCTTTATAACAAGAAGCTGTATCTGTAAATATTCTATACTGCGTAGTCTCTCAGAAGGAAGTAATTTAGAAGATAGA